ACCTCCTCCACCACCTCCTCCTCCACCTCCACCATAATAGCCCCCTCCATAGCTGTCGCGGTCCCGGCGCGGACCCCTGGCATGCTCCACCATGACCCGCTCTCCACACAGCTCTTTACCGTTCAGCTCATAGACGGCGTCATCAGCATCACGGGTGTCCTCAAACTCAACAAAGCCATACCTATAAACACAGCAATGATTAGGCCAGGCATCACAGAGCAGTGTACAAATGTAATGGGGTTAAATCCAAAAATCATGCGTGAACCCCAACATGCTGTGTGTCATTGATCAAAGCTGCTCCTGGTAGGGTTGGGTATAGTTCAGATTTTTTTTTGTTCGATACCGGTGCCAAATTGATACTTTTAAAACGGTTCCAGTGCCTGAACCGGTACTTATTAAAAAAATAAATAAATAAATAAAAATTCCCCAAACAATGATGGATTGGCCATTAGCACTATAAACACATGTCTGTTTCATTCACACTGGATGCCAGAGGGCGCCCTCGCACAGAAAATCCACATATCCAGAACTCATGACCCTCCAGGAAGTCCCTTATATGGACAAAGGCATCGCTATTATAGCTGTAACTGAGTAAAATAAACACTGAGTAAAATAAAATAAACGACTGCGACAATATAGTTTATCTGTGTAATTCAAGTCATCTCTAGTATTTTCATAATAATTAAGTTTTTTCATTGCTAATCGATGTATTCTTTTTAAAGTAGCCTATGGAACATATTTTATGCCTCATTCTGTGACAAGAAGCCACATCAGATCACAAAAGGAAGTATTTAACTGGTGTTGTGGAGTAAAACCGTTATAATGTTCTCTTTTGTTGGACAACAGGTTTAGAAATGTGAATACAAGGGAGGTTTAGCTTTAGGCATTTTAATTTAAGCATGTTTAGCTTAGTTAACGGAAGGCTAGCTGCTGCCATCAGAGCAAGTGTAATTACTGCATTCACGCGCTCCTCGAATGCTCTTATTTCCCCGAGTTGTGCTTTTAAGTCAGAATGTGAAAACAACATGGGCACTCGCGTTACTACAAAGATGTGTTGGATTTGTATTATTAGACCTTTCCGACTTGAGTTCACATGCATTTTCTCAGTCGGGAAATTATTTTTCACGTGCGGTGCCGCGATGATGTTTTA